CCGGCCCGCCTGCCTTTTACCACATGCACCGTACTGTTTTGTCCTCTGGATCAGGTAACCCACTGTAGTGATGTTTATTGCCAGATGCGACCTTGCGTAAGCACCTTGTAGAATCCCAGCATTAAGGTCATCTTCTATAAATACAGGTGCAGGGTGAGGAAGCGCTCTTTGGAGAAGTGTGCTGTTGCAGTTTCCCCTTTTAGACTCTCGGGCTGTGGGCTATTACTCACCGCTGGCGTTCGCCCCTCTCTTTGTTACCTCCCTTTTCGTGATCTCTACCCGCGCTTAGTTCCCCGCCCAGCCCTCCCTAGCGGTTGGCATTGCATTTGAGTTGTGTTTCCTCTACCTTTTGAAATTTAAAAATAGAAAAGAACCAACGAGCCCACAGTCTTTCACATGGGCTCAACTCTGTTATACGTCGGGCAGATTTTCCGGTAAATTCCACGCTGTAATATTTATAGTCAGAAATCTGCCACCCGTCCAGAATAAACTCTGTAAGAAATTCACAAGGAGCTCCTTTTATTTTGACTATCAGACACAAGAATCAGGACTAGGAGGCAGCAGCCGGCAGGAAGCCCCTTTGGAAAGTGGATTCCAGAGGTGGCAGGCAGCCTTCTGCCTTTTTACGCTACCTGCTGCTTTTCCTGCGTCTCTAGTTGATAAGCACCCTTGTCTGAGTCTCTTAGTGTGAATGCCAAGCCCGGGGCTCTGGAAACATGCAACCCTTCATTGGTATGAGTACTGTTTGCAGAAGTCTCGCCACATATCACAGTAAACACACCAAAATGTGGCATCTTCCATGTTAAGTGCCATTTTACTGCTGACAGAGTTTGGGTTTTTTTTTTTTTAACTGTTTTTGCGGGGTTTTTGCTTTGGGAAAAGATTAGCAGCTGCAGATAACTGATTTGTCACTGACCATTAGTTTCTCCGAAATCCTCCTTGCATGCTTGGGAATCTTTATTAAGTTGGATAATAGATCTAGCCTTTATATCGATTCCAAATGCAATATTGTCAATTCCTGAATAAGCAGTTGGGGAGGATGAGTAAATAACACATCTGTAGACATTTTGTGGGAGTTGGTTTTAACTTGACAGTTACCTTTGTAGAATAAAGGAGTAAAGACTATCTGTAACACCTGAGACCACAGTGCCTCCCATTTGGGATTTGGGGACACGTGGATACACAAGATTCGGTGGAGCATCCCTAATCCAAGAGCTGAAATCGTAAATGTTCCAAACTCAGAACCTTTGGAGGCCTGGTGTTGACACTCAAAAAGACTTAAAACTTTGAGACAGGGATGCCCACCAGTTAGTGGTTTCCAAAGTCTCATCCTTGAAAAGGCACTGCACCCAATGCTGGGTGATTTCGAGTGCCTGGCTGAGGAGCCCAGCATCTAAGCCCTCACCTTCTTAGAGAGTAAGCAGCTGCCTTATAGATAGAGAAAGGGGACCCCGCTGAAAAGTACGTAGGGCAGAGTCTTCTAGCCATTCATTCGCTCACTAGATGGCCTTGAACAAAACTCCACGCCTGCCGTGGCAGCATCCTTCCAGACAGACAGACTACCCGGCCTGAGGGGAGGCCTGAAGTAATTCCATAACGGGAAGGGTTAGAAAACTGTCTGACCCAGAGTCGAGTGTTTGTCTTCCACGCTTTGGCAGGAAAGCAGTTTTAGATCAATATTATTCTACCAAATGGAAGAAGGAACAGAAGAGAGAGAGAGAAAGGAGGAAGGAATGGATCACCAGCAGACACCTTACCCAAAATGTTGGGGACCAGAGTGTGTCAGGTTGGGGGGTTTAAAACATTGCATATACACATGAGATACCCTGAGAATAGGATTCAATGCACGTAGAAAATTTACTTATATTCCAAACATAGCTTGAAGGCAATTTTATATAATATATTAGATGGAAGTCCTCACCAGGGAAAACCGCTTGAGCTAAAGTGAACTCTGATTTCATACAGTATTTTAAATAACTTTATCCATGAAGCAGTTTCACAGTTGGGTAGTCCACATCTGGTGTTGTATCAATATGCAAAATGTAAGTTTGGGGGTACTATGGGTTTCAGACTCAGATTTAGAGAGAGTCAGCCTGTGACCCTTCTTCATTTAGAAGTCGCCTGTCACCTGTGTTTTCCTCAGCTAAGGTCAAGTGTGACACAATAAAAAGAAGGAAATTTTGGAAGGAGACGGCTCTGTGTTCAGAACCTCACAGTTGCTGCTCATCGGTTCCCAGGGCAGGCCAGGAGCTTCGGGGTGGCCTCCAGGTCAGCTGTCTTCATAATAGCAACATGACGTCATTTCCTTGTCACTCGTCCTTTCGTACGTGCTCCTTGAGCCTCCCCAGCATATTATGAGGGACCAGATGCCAGAAAGATACTGACATCTGCCTCCTAGAAGTTGTGTCCTGTGAAGCCAAACATTGACAATATTTGTAAAACCAGAAAGCAATGCCGTTCTCCTCACTTTGGTTTGTTCTGAGAAATATGTTTACTGTTAACTTTTAAAATGTTACTTATATGAGCTGGGTATGGTACATAGACTTGGGAGCAGAGCCCAGCCTGCTCTTCAGAGTGAGTTCCAGGACAGCCAGGACTGTTACACAGAGAAACCCTGTCTTGAAAAAAAAAAGTTTTTGAAAATAATTTTTAAAATGTTATTTTTACTGACATGTAATAGGATGAATTGTTGCTATTATCTTTAAATGAAGCAATAAATATATTTTTGATTCTTTAGTTTTAATATCTACTAAGATAAAGCTTAATAAATACAACCTATGTTTTTAAAAAGTTCCTTGGAGTTCTCAATAATGTCTAAGACATCAGACGAGTTCACATCATACCCGTGTGACTGCTTCTGACAGACACAGTCTGTGTCTGCTGTTCAGACACAAGTAGGTCCTGTTGGCCGATTGTTTCCCTGAGCTGGGAGCCATGTTGTTTTGTTTGTTTGTTTTCTCTGTTTTTCTTGGCATCAAAGTTATGAAACAGACTTTCAGACACCTCGCTAGCCCAAAGCCTGTACCTGGACACGGAAGAGACCAGGTCCTCTGACTCCTGCAACCACACCCTTTGTTACCAAGCAATGTTCCCTTTCAGACTAATTCTCTGAACTGTGTAAAGTCCTACTGTACTGCTCTGGGCCTTGGGTTCCTTATCAAAAATGGGCAGAATTGGGGACCCCTGAGGATTCTGTTAAAAGCTGGAGAGTTGACCTGCATCTTCTGAGTGCCTCATGCAGGCCTGAGGAACCGCCTGCCCTTCCCGCCTCTCCCTGGCAGGCTGCTGGGCAAGGAAGCTCACCAACCCCCCTTTCTTCCTGTAGATGGTATGCCTGCGGACAGAGAGAATGATTGGACAGAAGGGATTGACGAAGATATGATTGTGACCCAAAGCCTGACCAATTTCATCTGCCCCATAACACAGGTACGGCTTCCCCCTTCCCCTGCTAGAGGATGCAGGTAGGTTAGTTTCACAGGGGCAGAAAGGTTCCTGTTTGCCTTCCGCTATCCCGCTGGGATGGAGAAAGCAAAGAAAGTGAGAGATGGGATTGTGTCCTTGGGAGGTTTGCGGCTAGAAGCACTGTCATCCAATCACATGCCCGAGGATTTGGAGTAAAGTCATAGCCCAGAGGCCAAGTGAAATGAGGGCCACTGGAACCCTGCATTTCCGAACCACTGGGGGGCCAGGAAGTGGATGGTGAGTCTGCCTGACAGCCTGATGTCTCCTTCATCGTAGCTGGAAATGAAGAAGCCAGTGAAAAACAAAGTGTGTGGCCACGCCTACGAGGAGGACGCCATTGTCCGCATGATAGAGTCCAAGCATAAGAGGAAGAAGAAGGCTTGGTAAGTGGGCGCTGCCGGAAGCAGGGCAGCCTGGCGGTCCCCAGGGCGTGCCAGCAAAAAGCTGCTCAGAGTCCCCCTAGGCATGGCTCTGCCCCACTGTCGACAGGGAAAGGGGCTTCCTGGGAAGAGCAGTGTTCAGAAGACCCTGAAGCCCCCAGCTACACCATCTAAGTGGGAGGGGAGACGGGGTTGTCCTCAGATGACAGGAGTCTAGTTTATTTGTGTTGTTTCAAAGGAGCAGCTCAGGGAGTAGCGCACTCACGTAGCGGACAGGAAGCCTTGCTTTCAGTCCAAGGCAGCACACAAACCAGGCATGGACACACATGCCTGTAACCCCAGCGGTGGGGTAAAGACAGGAGGATGAGACATTAGAGGCTATCCTCAGCCACGCAGTTTGAGGCCAGCCTGGACTACGTGGGACTGATACTCTAGTCTCTCTCTTTCTCTCTCTGATTCTCTGTCTGTTTCTCTGTGTGTTTCTTTCTCTGTATGTGTTCCTCTCCCCCTCTCTCTCTCTCTTACACACACACACACACACACACACACACACACACACACACCACCACCACCAACAACAACAAACCTGTTAAGGATCTACAGAACTATGATCTAAGAGAGACCACCTTTTTCAATGTCCACTTAACCAAGAGGAAATCACCTTATTCTTTGCTTTTTACAATAGAACTTTGGTTTAAAACACAGTAACGTAAACATTCGAAGACAAGAATCGTACCCATTGGTCTTGGTGAGGAAGAAAGATTGCATTATGAGAGAAATGCTTTCATTTAATCACGCAAAGAACTGCACAGGTGGTTTCAAGAAAGCCATGGCTAAGTCACCAGTGAGAATTTTTTTAACTCCGAATCTTCCGTCCCTTCTCTCCCTACCTCCCAACCCCAGGACCATGGCTCTGTGCCGGTGACGAGAGTCCTCAATGGGCCACACTGGAGCTGACTGGGTTTGGCCTCTCCTGAGCTCTTATCGCGGGAATGGAATGGCAGGTGTGACCGTTCTCAGGTCCCCATAGCAGTGCCTTTGATGTGTGCTTTGCTTCTGCATCATCCAGACCAAGAGTTGGAATTCCCCTCCCCTCCCCGTGTGGGTGTGGGCTGACAGAGAGCCGCTAAGCCTGGAGATAACTCCCCGGCCATACGGTCAAGTCATTTACAGTATTTATTCTAGAAGAAGGATAGGTTTGCAGCCTCATGGCTGCCAAATGTAAACCATTAGTTCATTTCTATCTGCTTTGCGTTTGTCGTATTTCCCTAATGACCTTGACATTTTCCTGTGAGCATAATGTTGTTGCTGGACATCCAACCTTCCCTTCCTACCCATTTGTTCCCTGTGTTCCTTCTTTCACAAGCCAGAAAGGGGCAACGTAACAGCTGAGAATGCTTCCTAGTTCGCCGTCTTTGGCTGTCCTGAAGTTGGGGGTGGAAAGGGCAGGGACTAGTCCAGAGCATGGCTCCATTTCTCACCAGCAGCCCAGGGATGGTGGCCGAGTGTTCCCACACTCAGGTGGCCCTCCTTGAGGACACGCTCTGACATTCCGATGCCCTTTGCCGGTGTGAGTTATACACAGTACTTGCGAGCACTTGACACTTGTCATCTAGAGAGGCCTTCTTTACCTGCCATGCTTCCGGATCTTGGGTGGCAGACAGCCTGCAAATTTAATAGCAACCATTAAGTCAAAGAGGAAGGAGGCTAGAGGGTTACAGCAATGGCATCGTTACCAGGCCTTACAGACCGAGGAGGATGTCAGGGACTGATGAGGGGTGCTTGGAGGCCAGTCCTCTTAAGTTTTCCCTTTGGTAACCCCTTTTTACTAGGTCAGATTTCGCCTTTTTCTCCTGTCCATGTGTATGTGTATGTGGCGTGTTTGCATGTGTCTCTGTGTATTCATACCTTGGGTGTACATGTGGACGGGGTATGCATGTACGTTATGTGCACATACATGGAGTGGGTGGGTGTTGCTGTCAGGGGTCTTCCTTGATTTCTCTTCCACCTTTACTCTTAGAGGTGGGATCTCTAAAGCCCCGAGCTTGAAGACATGGCTGCTCTTACTGGCCAGTGTGACCCCCTGGAGAGCCCTGTCTCTCCCTTCTGAGTCTGCAATTATAGGTGGGGCACCATGGGCTCCAGGGATCTGACCCCCTGCCCTCTTATTTGCACAGCAAGCTCTCTGACCACTGCACCACTCCCCCAGCCCCCTCACCCAAGACTTTTGTGCAGCCCTGAGTACGTAGGTATATAAAATAGGTACACAAGTTAAACATTTCACTAATAATAAATGGTAAACACATTTATCCTAAAACAGTTCTTCAACATTTATATTTTACCATTTGTTAAAGGTGAAAACAAATTTATATACTAATGAAATGGATATGTTTAATTTTATATAAATAATTAAATATTGACTGAATGTTTGATACTGCAGAATAGAGTATGTTTTTAAGAGTTGATTGAAACTTTTATTTTCTAATTGTCAACACTGAGAATGTCATAAATACATAGTACAAAAATTGACAGAACTATGTTTACAGCCATTTTAGAAACTGTTGGGAATGTCATCCTAATCCCAAGCCAAAATTCATTTTACAAGTTTTCTTCTTTTTTTTTAAGTTAGAAACAAGTTTGTTTCACATGTCAATTCCAGCTCCCTCTCTCTCCCCTCCTCCCCATCCCTCCGCACCAGGTCCCCCAGTCCCCCACCCAATCTATACTCCGATCCCCAGGGAGGGTGAGGCCCTCCATGGTGGATCTCCAGAGTCTGTCATTTCATCCAGGGCAGGGCCTAGGCCCTCCTTCAAGAGTCCAGGCTGAGAGAGCCTCCCATATTGTGGCATGGGCACTCAAAGTCTATTTGTACGCCATCATTTTGCAATTTTTGGTGAAACCTAAATCATTACCTCACTACAGTTTCTAAAGTCAAACATTCTACTATATTATAATGCAAAGATACAGTGATTTGCTATAATCTGTGGAATAGTTGTAGGAAAATACTCTTCTCTGCCATTAAATCCTTGTTTCCATAAGAGTAGAAAACATGTACAGAAAAAAAAAGAAAACACACAGACGTTTATAAGATACAGTTGCCTCAAATCTGAGCCAAGGTGTTTCTGTGGCACTGTGTGCTGTGACACACGTGGTCATATGTTCATGTGTTCGTGGTAAGCATTCAGAACCATGTATGGTGCTACAAGGATGAGCATGGGCCACAAAGAGACAGCTTAGCCATTGCTGGCTCTTCCAGAGGACCCGGGTTCAGTTCTCAGCACCCACCTGAAACACAAGCTCTCCGGGATCTAACATGCTCTCCTGGCTTCATACATGCCATCATGCACATGGTGAGACAGACATACATGCAGGCAAAAAACTCACACACATAGGAAATAGCGAAATAATTAACTGGGGTTTTGTTTGTTTGTTTGTTTTTCTTCTTTTTTTGAGATAGTTTCCCTGTGTAGTTCTGAACTCACTAAGTATTCTATACTGGCCTTGAACTCGCAGACATCCACCTACCCCTTCCTACTAAGTGCTTGGATTAAAGGCATGCGCCTCTACACCCATCAAAGTTTGGGATTTTTGGTTATTTTTGTTTTTTGTTTGTTTGTTTGTTTTTTTCGAGACAGGGTTTCTCTGTGGCTTTGGAGGCTGTCCTGGAACTAGCTCTTGTAGACCAGGCTGGTCCCGAAAGCACAGAGATCCTCCTGCCTCTGCCTCCCAAGTGCTGGGATTAAAGGCATGAGCCACCAACGCCAGCAGAACCTGGGTTCTTAACAAGAGCCTCAGCCCATCAGGCTAGCTTTCGCTTGGTGGGCAGTTCCTGTTGCTGGCAGGAAAACAGAATGACATTGTAAATGACAGAACAGTAAATAGGCTAGGGATCTATCACGGAGGCCATGAATGTCAGTTTAATTTGTTTTCCTCGTCTGTAAACCAATGGCAATCATTGTAGTTTTCTCATTGGTGCGTTTGTAAAGTAGCTGAAGTACCAAGCACAGATACAAGATACAGTAAGACTCGAACCATGACCCCGTCATCAGTGTCTTGAAGCTTTAGCCAGCATCTTCACCAGCATCTTCACCAGCATCTACCAGCTCTACCCCATAGGCACGGGAGACCTTGTAGAGAAAGGGGATTTAGAGGAGCTAGTCTGGAGCTGCGAAAGATACCCCGGGAGCATTGCAGGGGAGAGGTGCCAGAGGCTTGCCCTGACGCTTGCACAGTGACTTCTCGTAGAGAGAGTGTGTGCGTGCAAGTGCCCCCGACAGAATGTGGCGATGGACTGTGAGTGGGAGAGGAGGAATAGGGGGCGATGGCCGCCATTTCTTGAGTGTCCGGAAGCAGTTGCTAGCTGTCACTGGTCTAAAGAGGGAAAGTGTGTAGAAGAGGCTCTGAGAGGCTCAGCTCGGGTCATCGGAGTCTGGGGTCACAGTGGTGCAGCCACTTGAAGTCATCAGGGGGACCGGCCCTCCTCACCATGGTGCCTCAGCCTGCATTCAGTTCTTGTTCCAGCGCCAGAGGTGCAAGACCCTGCGGGAAGCAGCCTAAACCACACCCAAGACAAGGCACTACAGTCAGTCTCGGGAGCCAGTGTCAAACGCAGGGCACACATGGCAGCAGATGAGAACTCACGGTCTGCGCACGCGTGCTGCATAGGTTTCTGATTCAGCATGAAGTGGTGTCCGTTCCCATGAAGTGGTATTTAAAAAATGTCTGTGACACATCCTGTCGGAGAACTCTCTTTCTCCTGTTCCAGTTACGTTACATTACTGGAGCCCCAGGCACGCTGTGTTACTGGGTACCATCTGAACTTTCCCAGCATGCTTCAGTCCCTGGAGGCCTCTCCGCTGGCGTGAGGCAGAATATTCTGGAGGAGCGATTCACCCTAAGTGTACTGTTAGAGTCACTTCCTAAAATAGATCTCTTAATCATAAAGCCATTATCTCACAATAGAGCTGCCTGTTGGTTTTCATGTTAATGAGCTACGGCTGATTTTTGACCCCAGCCATTTGTTTGGTTTTTCTGGGATTGAGCGGGAGCCGTAACAGTTATTCAGAGCATGCCAGTCGATGTGAAGTGAATAGAAGTGCGTCATGTCAAAGCAGAATTCACCTAGCAACAACTCACCGAGCCGCTCCACCAGACTCGTTATCTCTAGAGTGGAAATAACCTCATCAACTCAAAATTCCAGGGACCCTAGCGCTAACAGGGAATTCCTTCCAGCTCTGTCCTAGTACGTTTCTGGGCTGTGGGGAAGACAGCAATGTAGCTCAGGCAGGCTCCGGTTCATCCCCAGAGCTCACCGGACAGTGCCAAGTGTGATCATGCGTGTGTCATCCCAGCACCGGCAGGCAGCCTGGGGCACACTGGCCGGCCAGCCTCGTGTGTACCGAGAAGCTCTAGGCCAGGGAAAGACCCTGTCTGAAAAAGAAGAAAATGCGGCAGAACCCGAGGGGGACAGCTGAGGACGCCATCTGACCCCCACGGCATGCACACGTGCACAGCTGCATCCACACGCAGCGAGGACGCTTGCTGGCGTACTTCCCTCTCTGCTCTGTGACACGTCACCCTAGACTTGGAGGGCTTGGGACAGACAGAATCAATCGCTCCTGTGCGTGGGTCTGAGAGGAGTCTACCTAACGCTTGAGGCCAGAGGCGACTGTACACCCGCTTCCTAGAGCTTATAGATTGACTGGACCTGGGCATTCTGAGGACCCAAACCTGAGACCCAATCTCGAGACTCCTCCACCAGCTGAGGCTGAGGCCCAGCGTCCCGCAGCCCCGTGGGACCCTGCACCCTGAGGCCTTTCCTTAGCAGACCAAGTGTGTCCCACACTGTTAAGGAGTGCTCTGCCCTGTGGCTGACCCAGGCTTGGGATCAGCCTCTCCTTGCAGGCCTGTGGGTCTGAGCCCTCCCAGGGGAAGATTCGGTGATGCGAGCGCTGAAGTTGCCACACCTGACTTGCTCACCAGGATGTGTGGGGATTACGGCCTAATGCCTGGGCAGTGTTGTCTCTCAGAGCAGGAGTGCCCTGATTCAGGCCCATGGCGTCACGGCCTCTTCTTAGCCTTTTTAGTTTAAAAACTTGTTAGTTTCTGTGGGGCGGGGTGGGGTGCCGGCCTCACCCCCAGGAAGTCTTCCCAGAGATTCATTTGTGCTGTTCAGGGTTGTTTGCGCCCTGTCACCGGTCGAGCCATCTTGTTTGAGGGGACGGGACTGGTAGCCATGGTCTAGAACAGGGTGTGGTAAGGCCTGGAGCATAATCCTTCGCCCTTGGCCTTCAGTGGCCTGCTTGACTCTCACTGTACCAGAATGCCTTCAGACAGAGGAGGAGCTCTGCCCCTCCCCCCCAGTCTTCAGGAACAGTGCCAGCACCCGGGGAGCTGACTGCCAGGTCTCTGTCACTCTTCTGAAGGTGCATCACTACGTAGCCCAGGCTAGCCTAGAACTTTCTGTGTGTTTCTGTCTGGTCTAGCACAGTCGATCCCCCCTCTAGCCTCAGCCTCCGAGGTGCTGGGAGTCTCTCAGCTCTTCCATGTCTGAGTTTTATCTTTGCCATCGGGTCACCTCTCCACCCCCCTCCCTGCCCTTGGAAGGACTGCTTGACTTATATCACTGTCCCCCGAGCCTGTCTCTGCACGACGCAGATCTCACCGAGAGGAGTGTGGGCGCCGCCTCGGCAGCCCAGCGGTGTGGTTAATTCCATTAGCCATTCTCAGAATGCCCTCATTTACTGACTAAAGCCACTGATGTCATCAGGAAGTCCTCCCCCCTCACTCTCCACTTCCCTCTCCAATGCTTATTCACTGTCTGGCAGATGGAGGTAGACTTTGTTCTCAGGTGGCTGTGTACCCAAGGCCTGGCGGTCAGAAAGAGGGCTCAGGGCTTGCCCATCGGGGACGCATACCCCAGGAACCTCCACATCAGACAGGCCTGGGAGTGCCAGTCCCCATTTCTAAAATTAATGTGTGCATGTCTTCATCATCTTAGAGATTTCAGAGTTCAAGGGACAAGCTGGGGTGGGCAGCCAGGGTTACACAGCAAGACTCCATCAAAACACACACACACACAAAAAAAAAAACACGAAAAAACCAAAAATCCATGTGCCCGAATGCCCAGCGCACAGTCAGCATGTCCACAGTCATCCCCGTTCCTGAGCTTGCCACCAATGCTTCGAAGATCCCTTGGTCCCAAGAGAAAGGCCAAGAAACCCTTTTCTTTCCTACTTTACCTCAAATTTCCTATGATTTGCAGCTCCCGGGTCAGCTTCCCTTTCCTCTGCCCTTTACCTTTCGCCTGTGATTGCGGAGTCTTCAGAAGAGCCGTCTCGGTCATGGGGCTGAGCCTGGTGTGGACCAGTGTTTGCACTTCAGGCTAAGTAGTTAGAATCTCACCCGGGGCTGATCACTTAGAAGCTCCCTGAATGGTGCCCATGTGAATTGGATCTCTGCGAGTACAGACAGACCAGATAACCTGCAGCTTCCCAAGAGAACGGTGGTCAGGCTAGGAGGCGGTGAAGTAGAACTTCGGGGAGTACTTCAGGGCCTGTTGCCAGGCGGAATGGGGACCCTGACCGTATTTTAGAGCAGGGGGACCCAGGCTCAGCAAGTGTATCTTGGCCACCAGCCAGTAGGTAATTGAGAGATTTCAGGACCTACATGGCGCTTACTCCAAACACTGGGCACTCAACCCCGCCCAAATCTTGTTCATAGTAAAAAGGAATCAGGTGACTCAGTCCAAACCCCGCCTCAAAAGGAGATGGCTAACTGAGCAAGGCCTGGCACCCCACCCTTTTCTAGTGACTCACCTCTTAATTCTCCCACCTCAGGCTTCTGGCCAGTCCCTGATTCCCCACTCAGTGTCTCCCCTGAGGGTTTAGTGGCATTCGGAGGGACACAGTCCAGGCAGGACTCCTGGCCCGTGCCTGTCCTGTGTTCCTATTCCTTCCCCTCTGTCTTCCCTCTCCTCCTGTGTCTCCTGCAGAGCTCACGGCCCCGTGTGTACTAGAGCCTGTCTCCCCCACGACACTGAGCCAGACTGCCTCGCCCTCCCCGCACCCCTGTGGAACACCCAACTGTATTTCTCTGTGCCATCCTTTGCCCCCTGTCCTCTGTTAAACAGCCAGGGTGAAGTTTTCTACAAGGAAACTAAGTCACACCCCAGCCCCAGCTCAAAAATCTCCACTGGGCTCTTTTCATAGTTAAAGTGAGATCCGGGGCTAAGGATATAGTCTAGTTGGTAGAGCCTTTGCCTGTCATGCATGAAGCCCTGGTTGCGACCCCCAACCCAGCATATAAGCAAGTCTTGGTGGTATCCACCTATAACCCCGGCACTGGGGAGATGGAAGCTATAGGAAGCTCATTTCCCCTCTACATAGCAAGTTCAAGGACGACGTCAGCTATGTGAGGCTGTGACTCAAAGCAAAACAAAAGCTAATAACCAAGTAAGATAATGATCCAACGTGTCACCTTGCCCCTGGTCTCAGCTCCAACTTAGCTTTCAGTGCAGAACACATGGCCCTGCCTCCTGGGCAGCCTGGGCCACACACAAGCCTGTCTCCACCCTTCCTTCCCCGCTCCCCCGTCCGTCCCGTGGTCCCAGTGCCCTGCACCGCTTCACTGCTGCTGTGGCATGGTTTGTGGCTTCCTGGTGACTGCCTGCCTGCCTCCTGTGACAAAGCAAGCTCCCAGGCGTAGGTGCTGCTCATACACACATTGCTTGCATCCCCAGCTCCAAACCAAGCCGCCGGCCCTCAGTGAGAGAGTGGGTGTGTGTGCATGCCTCTTGGGTTTTGAGCTGTTTTGGTTTTGCTCTCGTTCTTTTGTAAGATGTTCTCACTTCGGTGCCCGCCTGTGACATTAATGCCCAAGGCCATGGAAGTGAGATAGACTGATAGTTTTCTCTCCCCTTCACAGCTGCCCCAAAATCGGCTGCAGTCACACAGACATGAGGCTGTCGGATCTCATTCCAGACGAAGCCCTGAGGAGGGCAATCGAGAGCCACAACAAGAAGAAAAAGCGCCACTCTGAGTAGGACCGAGCCACCTGCCTGCCCACAGGGATGTCAGCAGCCTGCCGCCCCGCCCCAGCCGCCTCCGAGTGAGGCTGGAAACCAGCTAAGGGCCGGCTGAGCAGCACACCGTGTTTGGGGGGACACCCGATGGCTAACTGTAATGTAAAGCGTTTTTCCAGTTACAGAACGAAAACACGAGAGCATTATATTCTTTATTTTCAAGTGCTCTGAAAATTTAAATACAACTTTGATACTCCTCAACGTGTCCTGTCCGTGTCTCTCCCAGTGGGTAAGGGGTTCCCAAAGTACAGATCTTCTCTCGCTCCTGCTTCCAAATGGTTTTTATAGTTATTTCAACTGAAAAGTGGCTTTGGGGTGACAATTAAAAATGAAAACGCAGAGACACTCACCAGCTGAGCAGCGGTTTGTGCCAGCAAAGCCAACAGCAGCATCTGGTTACCAATCGGAGCCCACAGCCCGTTTTATTTGGCGTGATTGACAGCGCAGGGTCTGGAAATGTTTTCCTTTGTCGTGAGTTTCTGAATGGCATGGAAGGTTCTGGGGACACAGTTCCCGGGGCAACTGTAAGTACTGCCCATAATGTAAACTTGGCTGCATCCCTAAGAGGGCGTCGGGTATCACTCGGAAGCTACCGCATCCTTAGCACTCAACTAACTGCCCGATGCTCCTTGCAGGTGACGTCACCCTCTAGGCCCTGTGTCCACGGGACAGGGTGCCTTCAGCAACAGCGACTTACCTTCAGTTTCTGGGCACAGCCAAGGGCAACAGCAATAGCCTGTATGTTTTGGGAGTCCCTTGGGTAATGACTGATAGTTCAAAGAGCCTTCTAGTGCCTGGTGCTGGGATCTCTGTTAGCTAGTTTATGGCTCCTGTAAGGGGCGGTCAGCCCAGATGGGAATTTTTCACTTGCATGTGTGTGCGTGCGTGCGTGCGTGCGTGCGTGTGTGTGTGTACAGACCTCTCTGCATTTTCAGGTAGATAGATAGTGACTCCTGTGACTTTCAGTCATGCTTTCTGTCATTTGCCTCTCTGCTGCCTTTGTATTTATCTCCTCCCAATCCCTACTCCAACTCCCCCACCCTTCCCTTTTCCTCCCTCGAGTCTCTGCACCCTGTATCCCCCTCCCTCCCTCTCTCTGTTGCTCCCCTCCCCCACTGTGGGCCCCTTTTGCTCTCTTGGTTTCTGCAATTCCTTCAGGTTGCATGCTCACATCTGAAGGTTGGGAGCTAGGAGCCACAACTGAGAACATTCTACGTTTGTCCTTCTTGATTAATACGACCTTTTCTCGATCCATCCACCGACCTCCAGCTTTCAGTTTTCTCTTTACAGCTAAATAGAAGTGCATGGTGTGTATGCACCACATTTTCACTGTCCGTTCATCAGCTGAAGGATGGCTATATTGTTCCATCTCCTAGCTACGCGGGATGGACCGGCAGTGGACAGTGCTGAGCGATTATCTGTGGGGTCGGATGTCAAGACCCTTGACCACGTGCTGAGGAGTAGTGTAGCTGGGTATGTGGTAGATTTATTTTTAGCTATTTTAGGGCTCTCCACGCTGATTTCTAGAGTAGCTCTACCAGTTTCAATCCCACCAACAGAAAATAAGGCTTCATCCTCTCCAGCATGTGCTGTCTGTTGTTTTATGATCGTTCCCACTCTGACTGGACAGAGATGAAAATCAAAAATTGTTTTGATTTGATAGTTCTCTAATTGCAAAGGACAATGGACACTTTTTGAAATGTTTCTTAGCCATTTTTTTCTTCTTTTGAGACCTCTCTGTTCATATTCCAAACACGTGTTTTCCAATGGTTTGTTCTTGTTTTCATTATTTTAAGATTTATTTTCGCTGTTTTAATTGTGTCTGTCTGTGTGTCTGTGTTCAGGTATACCACATGTGTAGGTGGCCATGTAGGCCAGAAGGGGGTGTTAGATCCCCTGGAGCTAGAATCATAGGTCCTTGTGAGCCGCTAATGTGGTTGCTGGGAACTGAACTCGGGTCCTCTGGAAGAGCAGTCAGTGCTCTTAACCACTGAGCCATCTCTCCAGCCCCTCGTTTGTCTTCATTCTTCTCTTCATCTGCATTTCATTTGGGTTTTGTTGACTTGCTTTTTTTAATTCTTTATGTATTCTGGATATCAATTCTGTGTCAGATGTATGACTGGCAAAGACACCTCCCATTCCATAAGCTTCCTCTTCAGTAGACCGGTTGTGTTTAACTGTGCAGGTGGTACCAGAAGATGCCATGTAAGCTTCCAAGGAAGGGAAGCAACCAGTAGTCCTACCCAGCTATAAACTTACCACAACTGCAACATGCCACAATGTCTCTAAGGACACAATAGTGGCACACATATGTTAGCAGAAACCAACAGCTTTTAAACTGGACTTAAAGGTATCACGCCTGGCACTAGTAACCAACTACCCAGGGCTAGCAAGGTCATGGGTCTTGGAGAGAAAGTAAACCCTCCACTTTTCTAAGACAGAATAATCCCTAACTACTTTCTAAGTGTTTGTCCTTATACCCACAGATAAGTAAAGGTCTCACCCCTTATCCAAGAAACTTCTCCTTGTAGCAGATGGAGACCATTATAGAAAACCACAACCAATCGAGAAGCAGAGACTAAGTATACCCAGCACCAGCCAATGCCTGCAGCACAATCCCTGCTTAGGCTCAGGGATTGTAGCAGAAGAGGGGGCAGAGGGAGTGTAAACGCCAGAGGAACGAGATGTTTGCTGGGATTGCGTCTCCTAGAAATGTCAGAGAAGCTACACCCAGGAAGTCTCACCAAGGCGGCTGCCTAAGGAAGACCTGAACAGGCATGACACCATTGGACATGTTGACGTGGGAAGGTCAAGAGGCCTCAACCCTAGACAAAAAAACTAGTCAACTCGGTTGTGGTGGCACGCACCTTTAATCCTGGCACTCCAAAGGCAGAAGCAGTGGATCTCTGTGAGTTCCAGGCCAGCCTGGTCCACAAAGCTACACAGAGAAACCCTGTCTCGAAAAACCAAAAAAATGAAAACAAAGTCAGCCTGGTCTACAGAGTGAGTTCCAGGACAGCCAGTGCTATACAGAGAAAACCAGTCTGGGGTGGGGGGAGAACCTAGTCAACTAAGGAACAAAAAAAGTAAGAGAGTAGTCTTCCCCAGGGAAGAGTTATCCAGTTGGGATCTTATGCCAAGTGGTATCATATGCATACAAGCAACTACATGGACTGAGCAGGTTGTATTTATATACTTGGGAATATATACACATATACATAAATATAAATGTAACAAACAGAAGCCATGAGTTTGAGAGAGGACAAGGTGGGGACATGGAAAGGATTGGAGGGTGGGAAGAGAAGGAGGGAATGATGTAACTATATTTTAATGTTTTTAACAAAGGAGATTGTCCCACAGAATCAGCTGACCCGAGTTAGTGAGAGATCACTGACTCAGGTCTGACAAATGGGGAATCTGCATAAGACTGAACTAGATTCCCTTAATATAGGTGACAATGGTGTGGCTGGGACAATATATGAAGCCACTGGCAGTGAGTCCAAGACCTAACACTAATGCACAAACTGACTTAGTGGAGCCCATTCTATATGGAGACACACCTTGCCCAGCCTAGACACAGGGGTGTGGGGGTGGAGAGGAGCCTTGGTCCTGCCTCAACGAGA